ATTCATTGTATATTGAATACTCCCAGACACACTATAATCCCGGCCAGGGGTTAGGGTGCAGCCAGAAGCAGGGAATTGAGGGAAATAGGCAAGGCATTCAGGAGCTGAGGCCCCTACCAGACTATAAGTGGTCATTTCTCTACCCATTCCCAAGAGTAGCCTGAGCACAAGCCATGAGGATCACAGAGGCGGATGGCCCAGTGTACATCAAAGAGGAAATGGCAGAAGAATCTGTTTCACCTGCCAGTTTGTGGGTCAGAAGAAAGTCTGATTTCCTAGCCCCATCCATTACCTCACCAGATGCCAATCCAGGTTGATGATATTCCCAGAATGCTTTGCACAGGTGGTTGGAGGCCAGAGTGGCAGAGACACTGGTTTCTAAGGCAACTAGAGTGAACCACAAGGCTCTCTAGCCTTTTAAGAGCTAAGGGGTAAGGGTGAAAAGTTAAGATGGGAGTTGGATAACAACCTAGGAGACAGGATGTCATAGCTTCTCACAAGAGAAAAAGTCCAGATCAAGTTAATGAGGGAGACATCAGTCATCTCTGAGGGGCAGAATGGTTTGAGGGGAGATTTGGGCACTCTCCTGTTGGGGCTGGTGTTAATGAACGCAGTTCTGATTACTCCTCTAGGGAATTACAAATTGCTCCACCTCTGGCTTGGGTGCTGACCCCTCCGTGAGGTAAAAGAAACAGCTGGGGTGAGAAAGTCTTGTCTCCTTAGCTCAGAAGGTGGGGGACATATAGAGTGTTCCTGTGGCTTGTCTCAACTGGAGCATGACCCATTTCTGAGACTCTGGGTGAGCCTGAACTCAGCTAGGTTGGGGAACAGGAAGCTGGGACAGGACAGTTACCTGATTCTGAGCCTCCGGCACTTCCACCTTATCCACAGCACTACCAACAGCAAGGCAACAAACTGCATGATTAGCGACAACCTGATAGCTTCATTCAGAACGTAATTCCAGGTGAGATAGCCTGTGGCCAGAGAAGACCAGAAGCAGGGGCCTTGATGGGGACAGGGACATGTGAATATATTCATGGGGGAGGGGGAGGAGCTGGTTACTAAGAATGTTTACATTGGGAAGGTGAGGCAGAAGTGACCTTTTTTCATGGAGAATGAGATCCTTGAAAGTACCCTGCTCACTGCCTTTGAGTACTTATGAGACCACCCCAGGGGAAGGGTGCCCAAACCCAAGGGCTCTGACTTCCAAGCCCCTGACTCCCTTTCCCATATTTTTTCTGGGCACTGCTCTGGGATCCCTGGGATATGGAGGGGCATTCCTATGAAGAGTTATTTTCTCACCTGCTGGCCCCATCAGCGTTAGAGGTTCACTGCGATGTGACCAGATGTTAGGATATGCCTCTATGCGATAGCTGCAACTGTAGGTCCCTGTACCTTTCCCATCTACATTACTGATGATGAAGTCTCCATCCACTGAGAATTTTTGAAATGTTTCTCTTTCTTCCCATTCCAGAGAAAATTCAAGTACTGGATGAGATACTCGGCATTGGAGAGTGATGGCTTTTCCTAGCTTGAACACGGTGCTGGGCCAAGCTGACAAGGAGGGTTTGGGGGGCTTGTCTGAAACCAACCCAGAGACCAGAGTTAGAAGTGACTTGAAACCCAGTACTTTATCCCACCAAATGTTTCTGACATTTCCATTTGCTCTTCTCTTCCTTTTCAATTTCATTTGATCAGTAGCTTCAATATTTGACTATGTATTAGAATTCCTTTGCCCACCCCTTGGTGCTGTAAAGACTCTTGATTTCCTACCTTCAATCAGGAAGAATTCATATTTGTAAGCTTCCCCTGACTTGAAGAAAAATAACCTTCCCGGAGGTCACAATGAGGCTGGGCCATGCTAACAGGCAGTTTGAGGAGCAATCCTGGGAGAGAAGGTCCCTAAAGTTTTTACAGAAAGTTCTATAAAGTTCCTAGTGTGTTTTTCCTTGGCTTATAGCTCTGAGAGGGTACAAGGCTACTAGCTCCTTCTTAGAACACTGTAATAACAGTCAAATAAAACAGGTTGATAATAAAAACAGTTGTTAGCACTTGCCTACAACCACAAGCTCCACCGTGTTGTGTGATGTCATCCTAATGGAAGTCTTCCAGGTGAGAAGATGGTGACAGCTATAGATGCCAGCATCACTGTAGGTCACATTGTTGAGGGAGAATGACTTATTGTCATTGATGCTGGTGGCATCCAGGAACTGAAGTGGTTTATTGTCTCCTTTCTTATGAAGTGCAAGCCCCACTCCATCCATTGCTCCTCGGCACCGTAGGCTCACATTCTGACCCATCTGGACCACAGGACTAGGCTGAGCAAGTAGCCAGGTCTTGGGAAAAGTGTCTAGGACGAGACCCAAAATATAAAGGGCTAATAATCTGATATTCCCCTCCCACTACTTAGGATTCTTTTCCTCCTCTTTTTCCAGACCACCCTTGGAAAATCCCTGCTTAAGCAGTTATACAAATTCTGCTTCCTTCTCCACTGTTAGCTCTGGTGACATGATTCAGTTTATCAGGGAACCCAAAGTGAACTTTCTATCCTTAGCCCCAACATAGGTTACATGGCTTACCCCTCTCTTACCAGTTACCCAGATTTTCAGGACACCACTAAGAAGTGAACCCCTGTATGACCCATCATAGTAAAAACAGAGGTAATGTCCAGCATCATGGATCTTCAAAGCCGGGAAGAAGAAATATGCCTCATTTTTTATTGGTTTCTTGTGATAAAAGGACTTCTCCGGGTCTTCAAGCTTCATTAGAGCAAAGGTCATTCCATAGATTGGCCCTTGGCACCTGAGACTCAGGCTTTCTCCAGGTGCCATGACGGGCCCAGGATAGGCTGTCAGAGTTGGTTTGGGATAGAGTCCTAGAAAGGGAAGAGACCCTGAAGTTAGAGGTAGGATGATTCTTCCCTATTGTCTTCTGTTTTATATTTCTAGTTTCTTTGGACAAGAAGTGGTAACTGAAGTTTATCTTCTCCCCCCTCTTCTTTCCTTGGATCT